TTTATTTATTTTTTAAATATTAATTATATTTTTCTTAACATATAAGAAGACGAAACTTAATCAATGATTGCCTATTTGCAGCTTACAAATATCGAAGTCAAAATTATATTTATTTATTTATTTATTTTTTCCTCATCATGAAGATTTTGGATTGAAACAATCGGCCTAAGTTGGTTAAACACTTCTCATCCTAACTTAGTTTGCAACTTTACATCATTAGGAAACTCTCCTATATTTGCTATTAATGAAATGTATCCTATTATTATAATTATTTTGTGTTCACTTCTAGAGAAATAATTTAGTTGGTCATTAATCGAGCTAAATTGAACATTCAAGAGATGACTTAACACAAGCGAGAACTTCCTCCTTTGGATATGGTTGTTGCACACTATAACATCTTATTGAAAATGAATTTTATTTTACTATGGTTTACATCTAACCATCAACGATAACTCGATAAGGGTTATGAAACAAGTCAAATCAACTGGGTGCATCACAAGTACATATGGTTAAACAACGGATCCTATAGAAAGACAAAGTTTGAAACAGATCCAAACATGTATGAAAACAACGCTAGCATTTTCGAAAATTGAGACATGGGTGGGAAGTTAGGGCATCTCCAAAAGTAGCACCAAAACATCAAAACGTACCAAATTTCGGTGCAAAAACACTCCAATCTAACACCAAAATTTTGCACCATTTTGATGAAAATTTTAATAATGTAAAAAAAATAATTAATGAATTAATTAAAATTGTAACCAAAAAAATTAAAATATAACAAACACAATTATTTAAAGTTAACACGAAATATATTACAACAACCACGTACTATTTTTTTTGTAGTGTTTCTGTTAATTGTACTATATTTTTTTATACTTATTAATGAATTTAAGATTTTCGCTAATTTAACGTAATTATTTATTTAGGAATTTATGCATTTGTAAAATAAACAAAGAAACAATTTTTCAATTAAAAAAATGATTAAACATTGTTCATTTGGTGCAATGATTGAAAATGATTTTTAGTTTGGCAGAAGATTTGATATAATATGGTACAAAACTTACCTCATTTGGTACAGAGTTGGAGATGATTGGATCTTTACAAATTCTTTTATAGCTAAGCTCAAAAGTACACTACCTGACCTTACTATATTTTTCCTTTTCTTTTTCTATCTTTCTTTAAATTTTTTACAGCTTCACAATGAAGATTGAATCTCAATCTTGAGGGTCCCATTACCTCGTCACTAGAACTTTGTGAGGAAGGTAAATCGAGGGATGTGTCATAGCAGGTCAGAGAACAAGAGCTGTCTGTACACTGCGCCTACGAGGAGTTCAATTCCATATCTTAGGAATCGAACTTCCAAACTACGGCTGCTAACAAGGCGTGAAATAATGTCACTCCTGTCCTTTGCACTACTGAACTATGCCCCCAGAGACTTTTACAGCGTCACAATAGGTGATATGGGAGTAGCTACTAGTTTGAAACTGTTCAATATGTGATTCAATGCAGAAAGTCAAAAAGGCAAAGAATAAAGTTTGTTTCTTTTTCTCATTAAGGAATAGATTTCACTTCTACGATAAATATCAATACTTTCATGTATTTCTTGTTGAAAAGAATTATGTCCATAAACTTTCGTCTACGATAGTTGACATCAAAAAAATTAAAAACAAATTCTTGTTTTCCGCATATATGTATAGGAATATAGATTAAGTGAATAATAACAAAATTTAAAATTAATGACAAAAATTTTAGTAAGCATCTTTCGTATTTGACGATGTATTCTACAAAAAAAAAAAAAAAAAAAAAAATTATTT